GATCAATAATTATCAAAAAAATGTTGAATTTTGTCCTTTGCTTACTTTTTACGGTGTCATTTAGAGAAGGGCGTGGTCAAATATACCCCAAAACCTATAAAGCCTAAACGAAAACTCCAAACTTTACGAAACTTTGTGAAAACATGTGTCGGATGACTCTTAACAAGCATGCAAACTTTCATGGAGATCGGACAATAGGTGGCGCTATAACAGTTGAAAAGGCCTCAAAAATACAATATTTGTATAGAAAATGACCTCAAATTGTAAAACATGTACATATATTCACACAAACACTAGATCTTCATATCATATGATAGATCTCCTCATTTTGAACAAATTTGCCTCTAGGACCAATGCTGTCAATCAAACTGGTCATTAAATATCCAAGATTATTTAAAAAACCTACTTTTGCGAACTAGTCCTAGGTTTTTCGCTCAATCTCGATCAAACCACTGCAGTAATATTCTGTGGACTCTCTAGATCAATAATTATCAAAAAAAATGTTTAATTTTGTCCTTTGGTTACTTATAATGGGGTCATTTATAAAAGGGGTGTGGCCAAATATACCCGAAAGCCTATAAAACCTAAACAAAAACTCCAAACTTTACGAAACTTGGTGAAAACGTGTCAGATGACTCTTAACAAGCATACACACTTTCATGGAGATCGGACTGTAGGTGGCGCTATAACAGTTGAAAAGGCCTCAAAAATACAATATTTGTATAGAAATAGTCCTAGGTTTTTCGCTCAATCTCGATCAAACCACTGCAGTAATATTATCTGGACTCTCTAGAACAATAATTATCAAAAAAATGTTGAATTTTGTCCTTCAGTTACCTATAACGGGGTCATTATAAAAGGGGCGTGGTCAAATATACCTCAAAGCCTATAAGACCTAAACAAAAACTCAAAACTTTACGAAACGTGGTGAAAGCATGTGTCAGATGACTCTTAACAAGCATGCAAAGTTTCATGGAGATCGGACCATAGGTGGCGCAATAACAGTTAAAACGGTCTCAAAAACAGTATTTCTGTAGTAAATGACCTCAAATTGAAATAAAATGTTCATATATTAACTTATACACTATATCTTCATATCATTTGATAGATCTCCTCATTCTGAATAACTTTGCCTCTAGGATCACTGCTGTCAATCAAAATGTTAATTAAATATTAGAGATTATTTAAAAAAACTACTTTTGGTAACTAGTCGTAGGTTTTAAACTCAAAATCAATAAAATCAGTGCAGTACTATTCTCTAGACTCTCTAGGTCAATAATTATCAAAAATATGTTAAACATTTGCATTTGGACAACTATAAACTGGTAATTTTATAATATGTTATTTACATAGTGTACCCAAAGGCCTATAAATCCTAAAATAAAGCCCACAATATCTCTCAAAACTGTGTAAAATGATGCATAATTTCATTCTAAACAAGCATGTAAAATTTAAGAGCGATTGGGCAAAAAAAATAACACTATAATAGTTATAAAGTTTAAAAACACAGTGTTGTATGAGAAATTGCAATTATAACCACTAGATGGCAGCGGAAGACCACTAATGGGCTCATTAAGTGTCCTAAAAGAGTACTGTTCATAGGTTAGCTATTTTTACAATTATGCCAGATTATGATTACAGTGAAACCTGAAAATGACATATACACTCTTAAAAACAGAAGACTTGCAATATGTTTTGTGTCACCTATCATTTATTTCAAATATCCATATCTGCAACAAAATGTGTGTGCATGTATGTGTGGGTGTCTCTGTGTTTAAGTATGCTTATTGAGTATTAATAAACTAGTTAAACAGTACTGTTGATAGGTTTGATGGATTCATGCTTAGACGTTATAAAATCACTGTTATAACATTTAAAATCACATTGAGTCAAAGTTGACCATTTTGTTCATACAGACATATTAGTTTTTACAATTATGCCAGATTATGATTACAGTGAAACCTGAAAATGACATATAAACTCTTAAAAAAAGAGAAGACTTGCAATAAGTGTTGTCACCTATCATTTATTTCAAATATCTATATCTTCAACAAAATGTGTGTGCATGTATGCCTGTGTATGTGTGTGTGTCTCTGTGTCTGTGTGTTTAAGTATGCTTATTGAGTATTAATAAACAAGTTTAATCATTTCATTTCAGTGTGTGTGTTTGTGTGTGTCTGTGAGCATATTCTCCATTTTGGATGTGTTTTACTGTCAGCCATACATCCAGGTTGGTCTAGACCCTAAAACATACCATCTTAAAGGCCTTAAAGTGCTTGAACCCCGGTAATTGCTGCTTGCAGCTATATTTCTTTTTAATTCTGATATGATTGAGAAGTGATATTCTCTGTTATATTTGCTGTATATTAGGTTGGAGCAGGCCAAAGAGGAGGAATCCAAAGATGCTCTAAAGGACCTGGTGAACCTGATGACCGCTCTGACCACATATGGTGTCAGTGAGCTGAAGCCAGCTGGTCTCACCACTGGAGCACCCTTCCTGCTTCCAGGTTTTGTGGTTCCACAGCCTTCTGGAAAAGGTCAGCCCTCCATAAATTGACATGCACTTGACTCTTAACTTATGTCACTGCACAGCTGGGTGCGAAAGTTGGTGATATGAAATTCTGGGGTATGTTGAACTTTGGCCAGGAAGCCTAGAGAAATTGAGGTCTTCACAGCATTCAGATGGCAAGTTTAAAATGTTGAGGCTTAAGTGGCCTGCATTACTAAAATACTTTAGAGATTTAGTGTGCTTCTATATTTGCAGTCATTCACATTTTTGCGTCAGCTGGGATTCTTTTAATGATTTTATTTATTTTTTTATTTATATTTGATTTCATTTTTAAAATTTCTTTTCTTTTGTTTTGATTTTTCTTTTCTTTTAGTTTATTTATTTATTTTTTATAAAAAAATTATGGAAATTAACCTTTTTTTAAGAGCTTGCAGGATGAATTAACCCAGCTGTAATCAATGGCTGTCTAAACCACTGAGTGAGATTAGCAGTTTTCTTCCTCTCTGCGTTTTCATTTATTAACCACCTCATCTGTGTCTGCTGCTGCCTCCCTTTGTCAGCTAGATTAGTCTTTTAGGCACACAAGGAGAAGGGCCTGCGGTTTCTGAGTGAGAATTAAAACATTAGTGTTCACTGGCAGTAAATGGCATTAATTGGTCAGAAGGAGGCAAACGGCAGACACCTACTGTGTAATCTGGTTAGGTTATTTGTTTGGCTTGTCTTATGCCTCGCAAGAGCTATTAAATGCTGTAATTAAAATAATGGTGCCAGATTATGTTGTTTATGTATCCAGTCACATCAAGACTTCCTCTTTTCCTACAAGCCAATCACAGAGACCGTTTATTCCCTACTTTGTGGTGTCATTTTCACTCAGCCAGCAATAGCACTCACTGAAGTGGGAGTTCATAAAGGTTGAATGGACAAGAATGTGTTTTTAAAGGTTGCGGGGTTGAATGATTGGCTTGTCTTGCTCTATGATCATGTGATGGCTGGATATTCATAGTTAATATTGCATATTTTTTCTTGAAGCCTAGTTGTACAGCATAATTACTCTTCAGAAAGACCCAATGTAGAAATAGACACCAGTAATGAATTTTGTGCTCCCACAAATTGAGGACAAGAAACATGCAGCAAGGACATCGGTGGCTATTCAGCAGTGCTGTAGTCGAGACCAGCTCATTTGAGTCCAAATCAAGACCGATGCCAGAAGATGGTTGGGTCAGTGTCAAGACCGAGTCCACATACTCCTAAGTCCATGACAACACCAAGACCATGAAAATATGGTCTTGGCCTTGAGTCTGAGTCTTAGGGTGCTTTCACACCTGGACCGTTGTTTCGGAACCTCGCCTGAACGAGGTGGTCTCGGCTCGATTGAAAACGAACTCTGGAGCGGTTCGGTTGTAGTAAGAAAGCAATCCGATCTAACGGACCAACGAACCAGGCTATATCACAATGTATAATGGGTAATTGTGTAAGTTCCGTAAAAAGCATTAGCTTTGTTGTTTTGCTGATACTTCAAAATTAACCATGTGAATGTCTGTGGGTGAGCACGTCTTCGCCATTCAAAATCAAAGCGCACTTTTTCATTTTATAATGCCGTCTTATTGCTCTTCTTCCAAGTATGTACATTTTAAAAATGTTTTCCCGATGAATCCTGGACTCCTGCTCAAAGTGATAAATTAAAGGGGTCATATGACGTTGCTAAAAAGAACATTATGTTGTGTATTTGGTGTAATGCAATGTGTTTATGCGGTTTAAGGTTTAAAAAACACATTATTTTCCACATACTGTACATTATTGTTTCTCCTCTATGCCCCACCTTTACACTCCAAAGAGAAAGGAAAAATTGAAATCGCATCATATGACCCCTTTAATATAACGATATCTACAAAAAAAAAAAACAATAAGCCTGCGAAGCTGTTGTCGTTCCATCCTGACAGATGACAGCTGTGACAGCTAGTGAAATCCCGGAAAATAAACCGTGAAACTTTGACCAATGAGAGAACAGTTTACTTGCGCGTGACTTGTATTATCAAATTTGGTCCGTTTAGAAACATTGCCGTGTGAAAGCGAACCGCACCAAGAATAAAAAGCAACATTGTAATAATTTTAATCCCTGTTTCGGAACAAAGCAATCAATCTACAGGTGTTAAAGCACCCTAAGAATGTATTTGCATGGTCTTGGTCTTGTTATGGACTTGAATTCATGATTTGAATTCAACCCACTTCTGGGCTTTGACTCGAATGAGCTGGTCTCGATTATGACACTGTTATTCAGTTATGATTATTATGTGACTTACTGTACATGTTACTGACCTCTTGTTAACAACATAATTATTTGGAAGTTGTCATGAATATACACTTCTGCTTTCAGATTGAGAGGAAATGAAAACATGTGAGGTTGTGTGTTACTAGCTTTGCAAGAGTCCACCAAAGTTCACTGGAGTTTCTAGAGTTTCATACTGTCATTAGGACTGTGGTGCTAGTATGCTGCTAAATTAATAGTTCAGCCAAAATGCACATACCTTTGTTATTTACTCACTATTTATGTTATCTACTCACTATTTACTCACTCCTCATAATCATATTTACTATACTACTTTATTATCGTTGTTCCAAACCTGTATGACTGGCTTTCTTCTGTTGAACACAACAGGAGCCATTAGAATAATGCATTGGTTATTTTTTGTCTGTTAACTGTTTACTCATGAGTTCGATTTCTTTTTTTTTTTTCAGGCCACACGGTCAGAAACATCCAGGCTTTCTCTGTGCTTCAGAATGCCTTCTTGAAGGCCAAGAGTGGTCGATTAGCACGTATGATCCTTGAAGCCATTGCCAACATCTACGCCGCAGACTATGCCAACTATTTCATCTTAGAGGCGCAGCATGCGCTATCGCAGTTTGCAGACAGAGTAGCAAAACTACCGGAGGTGCAGTCCAAGTACTTCGAGGTACTGGAGTTTGTCGTCTTCGGACTTAATTACGTACCATGCAAAGAGCTTTTTAGCGTTAGCGTGCTATTAAAGTCGAGCACCTCTTACGGATGTAGCATCACTGCCACCCGCACTCTTCTCAAACTCGGGCGCCACCACCCTGTCTTCAGTGATGTCTTCCGTGAAGTTGGACTGCTGGAAGTGCTAGTTAACCTGCTCCACAAATATGCAGCGCTGCTGAAAGACCCAACGCAAGCCCATGGCGAGCAGGGTAATCATTTGTGAACTAAAATTAAATAATAAATATTTGTAAGTATTATTTGTATACTACTACAGTGTTTATTACTTTAATTTAATTTAGGTCTTTTTTTTTATACTATTTTTTTATACTTTCAGTTTTTTCATATCTTAGTTTCAAGTTTTAGTCATTTTGTCATATGCTTTTGTCTTTTTTTATTTTATTTTTTTTTAATAATTCTGTTTATTTTAATTAACAAAATCACTTAAAAAAACAAAAACAATAACAACGCTGATACTAGTTATAATTTCATTGATTGCTCCCCCCCTCACTGTTGTCAGGTGATGCCAAGAACAATGTGGCTGAAGAGCAAAAACAGCTTGCCTGGCTTGTCATGGAGACACTCACAGTCCTCTTGCAAGGCTCGAACACAAATGCAGGTAAATGTGTGCATGGCTGTTTCTTTTGTTTTCTTTTTAAAGTTAAGTTTTTGGCCTTTCAGACTTTGTAATTGAAAGGTTTGGAGAGGAGAATGGACCGCAACCTAGGACACAAACTGATCACCCGAAGCGCTATCACACCACATGTCAGAACGCTGCCCACAAGTCTATGGCACCAACTTTTGCTGGGTTTTGAAAGAGGAAATGGCAAGCGGAAGGCTTGGAATTAGACTGACACAGTAGTTTTGGTCTCACCGTCTCTTCCTCTTTACCTACCTTTATTCATAATCAAGGCCTCACGGAATCTGTCATGCAGAAGCTCTGCAGATTTACACAGAATTGTTAAGCCTATGATTTACAGAGTTGTACACATCCCCCACGCCTTGTGTATTCATTTACTTGATGTTTTTGTTATTACTCTAGTAATGTTTAACAGGTTTTTTTTAATAATTCTGTTTATTTTAATTAACAAAATCACTTAAAAAAACAAAAACAATAACAACGCTGATACTAGTTATAATTTCATTGATTGCTCCCCCCCTCACTGTTGTCAGGTGATGCCAAGAACAATGTGGCTGAAGAGCAAAAACAGCTTGCCTGGCTTGTCATGGAGACACTCACAGTCCTCTTGCAAGGCTCGAACACCAATGCAGGTAAATGTGTGCATGGCTGTTTCTTTTGTTTTCTTTTTAAAGTTAAGTTTTTGGCCTTTCAGACTTTGTAATTGAAAGGTTTGGAGAGGAGAATGGACCGCAACCTAGGACACAAACTGATCACCCGAAGCGCTATCACACCACATGTCAGAACGCTGCCCACAAGTCTATGGCACCAACTTTTGCTGGGTTTTGAAAGAGGAAATGGCAAGCGGAAGGCTTGGAATTAGACTGACACAGTAGTTTTGGTCTCACCGTCTCTTCCTCTTTACCTACCTTTATTCATAATCAAGGCCTCACGGAATCTGTCATGCAGAAGCTCTGCAGATTTACACAGAATTGTTAAGCCTATGATTTACAGAGTTGTACACATCCCCCACGCCTTGTGTATTCATTTACTTGATGTTTTTGTTATTACTCTAGTAATGTTTAACAGGAAGTTCATCTCTGACAGAATTTTTGTAATAAAAAAAAAAATAAATCAGAAGTACTCTAAAAACAATCACAATTTTAACATTTCCATTTTAAATGGGCTGTTTTGCCAGGACATTGAGGGAATTGTCCCTTTTTCCTTTAAAATATCATTAGGCTTTAGTTACATCATAGCTGTAAATCATCATTTGCTACTTCTCAGTTGCTTGTGGTATTAGAGGGCGGAACATTGTCATTCTTGAGAGCATTTGATTAGTCAAAAATTTGTGTGGTGCCGAATGAGTCATCAATATTTGTAACATTTTGTCGGAAGAGAACGACTACATTTTAAATCTGTAAGATCTGCTAAAGGTTAATTTCATTACAGTCTCAAAGCTAATATGCATAGATACAATGCCACCAAGTCAGTTTTTGATTTCATATGGTCTTGAACAGAAATATGAGATTGACATTGCTTGTTTTGAAACTTTCCAGTACATCCCTTAGGCTTTCATTATAATTGCATTATTGTACTCCCAATTTTCCTTTTTTTTTTTTTTTGCACTCAGGGACGAGTCAAAATTCATTTTCATGCTCTCAGGCCCTGCAGTAGTCTCACTGTATGTGCTGAGTCAGGTCTCTTAACTTCAGCTCTGTAATCATTTCTCTTCTCTATCATGGCTGCTGATAGAGAATGCCCTATCTCACAGATGCACTCATGCTTTATTTATTGTTAGCCAACCAGATTGGCTTTACTGCAGAAAATGTGGCATTGCCACTGAGGTGATCAGTCATTTCTAAATCTCACTATGCTCTTGTTGTGTCTAATATTTACATAAACAAAACATTAAAGATCTTGCTAAGCTATGAAGTTGAAACTAAAATCCTAAATTGCTTGCCTCCAAGCTTATATGACGAAGTCTGATGAATTTTTAACGAGAAAATCTGAATCTCTCAGGATTGTTCCGTGAGTTTGGCGGAGCCCGGTGTGTGCACAACATTGTGAAGTACCGTCAGTGTCGTGAGCACGCTCTGATGATCATTCAACAGCTGGTGCTGTCGCCATCTGGAGATGATGACATGGGTACTCTGCTCGGCCTTATGCACTCTGCACCATCAACAGAACTACAGCTCAAAACTGACATTCTGCGGGTGAGGCGCATTCATAACTGTGTGAAGAAATAAGTGTGCACATCCAGCTCAGGTTTTTTTACAGGTGCAGGTGATGATGGAGTAAATGTGGAAAACAGTAAATCTCCACACATTGAAATTAATGCTTCAAAATTTCATTAAACAAAGACCTACTGATCAAAATGTTGCAGTTGTTAAATAAAGATTTTGGTGCGCACTGATATATGATATTATTCAATAATATATTATATATGGAGTATATAATATGTAAGCATGTGGATATTTACTTTTTCCCTATGTTCATAAATCTAGCATGTGGTCTTAATTAAAATTACTTTTTTTAGTTTAACCATCATATTTGCATAAAATACAGTACCGTTCAAAAGTTCGGGGTCTAAGATTTTTTTGAAATGTTTTTTTTTTTTAAAGAGTCTCTTATCCTCACCTAGGCTGCATTTATTTGATCAAAAATACAGTAAATGCAGTAATATTGTGCAATTTTAAGTTTGAAACAACTGTTCCTGTTTTAGCATATTTTAAAATGTAATTTATTCTTAAGACAAAAGCTGTTCTAATGACAAGGCTGATTTTTTTTTTTTTAGCAGCCATTACTCCAGTCTTCAGTGTCACATGATTTTTTAGAAATAATTCTAATATGCTGATTTGGTGCAAAATCTTACTGAACCCAAACATTCGAGTTGTAATGTAGGTGTGGAGCATCCTCGGTGCACAATTAACTTGTATCCTTATGATTTAAATTTGAATTCACCTAACATTCTTTGTTGTTTCTCATTAGGCTTTGCTAGTGGTGCTGCGCGAGAGCCACCGCACACGCACCGTCTTCCGCAAGGTGGGCGGCTTTGTGTACGTGACCTCACTGTTGGTTGCCATGGAGCGTTCTCTCTGTTCTCCACCTGTCAGCGGCTGGGAGAAGGTCAACCAGAACAAAATCTTTGAACTTCTACATACCGTATTCTGCACTCTAACAGCAGCCATGCGTTATGAACCTGCCAACTCGCACTTCTTTCGCACTGAGATCCAATACGAGAAGCTGGCCGATGCGGTGCGACTTTTGGGATGTTTTTCCGATTCTAAGAAAGTTGGTCCAGCAACCGTCTTCCCCTCTAATGCCCAGCCATTCCAGCGGTTACTGGAGGATGAGATCATACCTGCAGAAAACGTTTGTCCCACTCTTAAGCACTGCAGCAAGCTGTTCATCTACCTGTACAAGATGGCCACAGACTCATTTGACAGGTGTGGTTAAATGAAGTTGCCTTTTCTTAATGAATAGAAAGGATCAATGTGTTTTGGATGTGATATCAGTAAGATGAAATGAAATCCCTCTTTTGATTGAGGCAGCAGTTTACTTTTATTGAGGAAAAAAAAGTGTAACTTTATAGTCGAGTACTCTTTGCACATAAAGATAACGAATAAAATAAAAATTGACATGTGATGTCTACAAAGTATATATTTTGTTTAATTCAAATGCATCACTAATGACTGTTTAATAATAACTTTGACAAACTATGCTATTTCTTAAAACAAAATAAATGAGCACAATGGTTTAAGAAAAAACTGCACAACTACATTTGAAAATTAAAATGAACAAGCTAAAAAAAAAAAATAAGCAAAGTAATAAAAAATTAAGTGTGTTTGAGGTCACACAGAGCTTACATAGAAACCAATTTTAAAATTAGACTACCGCCATCAGGGGAATTAACATGTAACAATGTCTATTCTAAAAAGACTATTTCATTTGTAATTTTTATTTTCTGTTTTTATATTATGTTATTATTTAAATAAACAATTAATAATGGCCACGTGAGCCTAATAGAAAATGCATTCTGCCAGGCTAATTTATTTTTGCATTTTTTTCCACCAATCTGCTGGGATTCATGATTCTAACAAGAACCAAATAAACAAATCAGGTTCTAAATATTGCAGCTTGGATGCACTTGAAATTACACAACATTTCCTTTCAAAACATAAACGCGTATCTAGAATGCCACCCTAAATATTCATTTGTAACAATGAGGGATTCAGCGGGAAAGTATTCTCATTGTTTTCTATGGCAGGCAAAGTCATAAAAGAAAATTGGTTTGCCTAGTTTGAATAGAGTGTTACATCTTAGTAGTTGGTGCAGAATGAGTACTCGACATGTTGATTCTTCATGCACATCCCTGATCTGCTGAGAGCATAGTTTCCTTCAATGTACCGTTCTCATTAGTCATGACCTTCAGAAGAGAGATGCAAATGCCTTTACATGCTATCTGAGTGTAGCTGTGCTTTGGGCTTATGTTTGTGTTAGATTTGCATGATCTGTAGATCCTCTGAGTTCTATGTGCTGTGCCCTGAGCTGTATATTCAACAGGAACTAACTGCCTCCGTCTCTTGCTCTTTCTCATTTCTTTGTCTCTCGTAACCTCTGGCATTGCCTGGCTGCACACACGGGGTGTGTGTGGTATGGACCTGCTGTTTGTGTTTGTATGGCCGTGGGAATGTCTGGTCTGTTTTTATGTTGATTGTTTGGTCGTGACTCTGCGTGTCCGTGTGTGGTTGAATCGTTGTAGTCGTGCCGAGCAGGTGCCCCCCTGCCTGACTCACGAGACCTCATTGCCCTCTCCTTGGGGCACGCCAGCAATCGCCAGGAAGAGGTACCGCTTTCTGCCATCTCTTCCTTTTCTCCCTCTGTCTTTTCCTTTTTTTTTCTGTTCTGTGCTCGTCGAGTGATCAGACCATTTTTTCCCCAGTCTGTTTCATTCTCTCTTCCTTCATTTGTTCACTTTTGTCTCACACCTTTCCTTACAGTAGGGTATATTGGTACTATATTGTTTATCTGCCATTATTAGAATTTTTTTTAAATTTATCATATATATCCATATTGTACATATACACACTACAGTTCAAAAGTTTGGGATTTTTTAAATATGCTCACCAAGGCTGCGTTTATTTTTATTGAAATTGAAGTCAAGTTTTCTATTTTAATTTATTATATCTGTAGATATATATTTCATATATATCTGTTTCAAAAATATTTGAGTGTTAGTGTTATTTATTCCTGTGATGGCAAAGCTGGCATTACTCCAGTGTCACACAATCCTTATATATAAAATTATAATTCTTATTAAATAATTCTAATTTACTAATTTGGTTCTCAAGAAACATTTATTAATTATCAGTGCTGAAAACAGTTGTGTTGCTTAATACTTTAGTGGAAACGGACGCATTTTTCTCCAGATTCTCTGATGAATAGAAAGTCCAGTAGAACAGTATTTATTTGAAATAATATATATTTTTATTATTATATTTTTATTTTTAAACAATGTAAAAGGCTCTGCTCAGATTTTTCATTTTTTGGCTTAACTATTCCATTCAGAAATGTTATGACAACTTTACAAATGATAAAAGTGTATCTCTTCTGTGTAATTCAGTTTTTTTTTCTTCCCCTAACAAACCCTGACTAGTTGATATAGTTTAGATGTTTACGGTAGCCCTGCCCACCCAGAAATGTCACTGGTTTAAAACAGCTATATATTCAGTGTGAACACCAGACAAATTGCTTGACTTGGGAAACTTCTTCCATCAGGCCTGTTTAGGATACTGTTATTCATTTCCTGCTCCCTCTGATCAGAGTGATTGCCGTCTGCAACTTTGCAACCTCTCACTTTTCCTCTCCTTGATCTTCTCCTTTGTCTATATTTTCATCTTTTTCTGCACCATTTCATCTGCCATGTTGAGCTACTTTGCTTACCTGTAAAGCTTTGTGTTTGCTAAAATTTCTCCTTCTCTGGTTGTGCTGACAGCTTTTTTCAGTCCTTTTGCTTTTCAAGCTCTCTGTTGGGAGTTTTGATTCATAATTAACATTATATCAAAGTTGATATTTTTTTACATTTTGGTGCTGTATTTAAGATTAAGGACCAAAAAAATCCTTCTTTTAAAAAAATCTCTCTAAGCTTTTGCAGCCTATTAGCTTTTATCTGCATAAAACTGCCAAGCCAAAATGTATAAGTGAATTACACTTTCCAGACACTGACACTAAGTGATGAGACTAAGAAGAGCCATTAAGTGATCTTTTCTTTCCCAATAGAAATGGCTATCACAGCTCATCCAACTCTGCTCCTGGTAAAGCCCTAACGGACCTAAAGCTGCACTTGGGAAATCCATCCCAGCACTCTTCAGACCCTGTAGTCATCCACCCTGGAGCAGTGCTGGCAGTGCTCGACCTCCTACCCTCCGTTTCTTCTGACACACAGCCTGAGGTATGAGCTGCTTGTAGATATTGGCTCTGTCTCAAAACCTAGTGAGCTGACACCATGTTTGGTGTCTTACAGTCATCAGCCCACATGGCAATGCCTAATGCTACATTTTTGTGTTGATGTGTAGCTAGGAGAGATACTGTAAGAATATGTAGCTAGGAGTGATACTGTAAGAATGTGTTGCTGAGCTTATCAGCATCAAATATGACACTGTCATATCTATGATTCTACTTCACAATTGATTGTATACACTACTGTTCAAAAGTTTGGGATCAGTAAGATTTTTTTAAAATTAATTATTTTATTTAGTCAGTATGCATTAAATTGCTGAAAAGTGACAGTAACTTGTGAATATATGTATATAAGTGTGTGTGTGTGTGTGTATATATATATATACACACATACACTATAGTTGTGGGATGAAGGCTTATTATGCAATTATATAAATACATTTATTTATTTTTATTTTGAAAAGACTTTGCTTACACGTCTTCAATTTAAAGATTTGTTACCTTAGCATCATTTTTGTTTTTCACCTACAGTCAGAAGTCAAAGTGAAGGATTTTATGAGAATGAATCTTTTTTTTAGACATTTTGTGTGAAACTTAAAGGCATGTTCTCATTTAAGCTCTATCAGCCGCATTTTTGTTATGTTGTTTGCTACGATTACCACAGAAATGATTACCACGATCTGCTCTCTGGAGAGTTACAGAGAGTAACTGGAGTGTTACATGCTTAACAATGGAAGAATGTGAGGCAGTGCAGTATATTGGCTCATAGACTTCCATTATAAATACATTTGTCAGTGTTTTTTCATCGTTTTGTTTTTTACAAACTTGTTTGTTACTACAAACTGGGACAAGATTAAATGATATTCTGTGTAATCGACAGCATCTGTGGCATACTGATGACATAAGATATTTTGTAATAACCCAGACCTTTCCTTTTAGGGGTGTACCTTCCTAAAAACAGGCCTGTCAAAAGCTTGGTTTGATTGGTTAGGTATTTGTCCTCAGACTTGACTAGTAATAGCATGCTATAGGCTTGTGCCGCTGCAATGTGAATTTTGAATTTCAGATTTTTTTTAGTGTTTATCTGAGCTGAGTGTACTACTGTAAGTGTACACCTTTACACCTTTACCTTTGCTCTGCTCCTCAGCATGCTCTGGACCTGCAGTTAGCAGTTGCTAACATCCTGCAGCTGCTGGTGCATTCAGAGAGGAACCAGCAGATCCTGTGTGAGGCGGGTCTGCACTCACGCTTGCTTCAGCGCTGTAGCTGCGCTTTGGGAGACGAAGATCACCCACTCCACCCACCACTGCAGAGGATGTTTGAGCGACTGGCTTCCCAGGCCCTAGAGCCTATGGTGCTCAGGTGAGTCTAGTTTGCTCACAAAATTGTATTTATATAATAAGCCTTACATAGAGACAATATATAAAAATAACAAAATAAAATATGACAAGAATATTATATTATATTAAAATACACTGTATACATTACAGTACACAAATGTGATCCAGTACAGGTCAGAGGACCAGCTCTTTGGCCATTAAATCTCAAAGCCTCAGCAATATTTATTTAAGTGATAAATATTTATGAATAATATCTTAAAGGAACATTTTTCTGCCCCCCAACCTTTTATTGATTGGTCTCCCACATGTGAGCTCTTTTGAACAGATTTTTGTTTATACAAAGACCAGATTAAGAGGCAGTTAAAATCTGTTTTGCTCCTGGGGTTCCTGCATGATTCAGTCTTTACTGATCTGATCTGATCTTATCACAGCTGCATGTTTGAATAAAAGAATAATGATCGAATTTGACACATCTCAATATTATTCAAAGCTCTCCATGGGTCGTCTCCAAGTCAAAATGGATTAGCAATTTAAATTTTCCGCATGGCTGGTCTAACGTGATGGAGGATGCAGACTTGCTTCACTACAAAATAAAGAAGAAAAAAAACAGCAATTCACTTCAGCTCATTTGTGGAATCAAAATCTGTCTTTTATTGTTTAAATGTCATGCAACAGTCCATTCTGGAAAAATCCTTCCACATATAGATATAATCATCATCATATTTATTTAAGTGATTAATTTATTCTTCTTATTCATATTATTTTGTTATTATTATTTATAATAATTATTATTATTATTTAGATTTTATTTAAATAAAAAATATAATTATTATTGTTATTGCAATCATTACAATTATTATATGATATATTTTATTAATTACATTTATTTAACGTTTATTTTTGTCATTTACAGTTGTTGTCATCTAGATTTTTTTTATGTGTTTTGATTATGCTCAAAGAGCAAGCAAGCAGTTGCTAATTGTGTGGGTTATTGCTGTCTCTATAAAATGTTTTTATGTATTTTCCAGGGAATTTTTACGACTTGGGAATCCTCTGAATTGCGGTGCCTGGGACAAAAAGCTCCTGAAGCAATATCGGGTCCACAAGCCGAGCTCCCTCAGCTATGAAGCTGAAATGCGCAGTAAGGAAAAAAATTAATGCATAAAGACTGCTAGAGCTGTCACTGTGCTTTTGTGCCATCCCGTAAACAGTTTGTGTCAGTGTTATGTGGTCTTGTCTCTGTGGGCCAGTGAAAGGAGGGACATTACTTCAGGCTTCACTGACTATGGTCTTTGGTGAAATGCCATCAATCACCATCAGAATCAAACAAAACATTCTCCTTTCGCTCTCCACGACTGTGCCAGCAGAGAGACGTTCAGTTGAACAGGGTTTTGCCAGAGCTGAGTTCCCAGCTTCCCTAATTGCCAGTGAAATTACTTTTCTCCAAGCTCCACCATGTCCAGAGAGTCCTTTTGGAACTGGCTAATTTAAAGGTTTCTTGCTTGCTTAGTAGAAAGCCTCGGTGGAATTGTGCAGTCATTCCAAGGTCCAGTGCAAGCAGATATTTTTGTTGGTTATATCCACTACAGATTACCTACAGATTAGGTTATTTAAAGTCCCCCTGTAGTCAAATATTTTATCCCTTAAAACTTATCTTTGATCATCAAAATGACATATTTAAATGTTTTTTCTTGTGAAAATAATTTTCTCATGCCTTAAAATAGCTTGAATGTAACTCTACACCCTTGCCTCATTTACTATACGCGGATCTATGAATATGCAAATTAGTCCCGCCTCCACTCAGTCACACCAGCCAGCGCCTCCTGATCCACTGAACTGTAGTAACCGCAAAACAATGGCATACACGGATAATGACTGATAAAACGATGTTTTTACTAGCGGACAACTACTGTGAATACTGTAACATTCGTTAAAGTTACTTACTTGACGATGTTGTGTCCTAAAATGCCTTGAAGACTCGAATGCAGCCATTTGTGATTCTTAATTCGCGCCCAGCGAGCATACGCGTGTCAAGTGCAGACGCCGATGTGGGAGAGGTGCGTCTGACTCCGGGCTACTTTTACACTGTTTCCACGGGTTATAATGCAAGTTAGCAGTTCTAAATTCACATTAAACCACAGCTTCAAGGGTTTTTTTGCTCTAATTTATTTTTGGTTTTGTGCTGGTATTGGTATATTTTGCATGCTAGTGATAGGAATCGATCCCTTGACGTGATTGGTTATTGGTTTGTGACGTAGCAAACCGAGGGCTGTTTCAAACCATATTTCTGGGTCAGCCTTTGGGAAACTACAGTTTTAAGGAGAAAATACACAGCAATGGTGTTGATTAATAGATTGGCACATGGTTTGTCTAAAAGCAAATTAAAAAAAGCACATAAACAAATAAACAACATAAACTTGATTTTCACTACAGGGGGACTTT